ACAACAACCACCTCATCAACAACAACCACCTCATCAACAACAACCACTAGCACAACAACCACTAGCACAACAACTACATCATCAACAACAAAAACGACAACAACTACAACAACAACATCAACTACTACAACAGCAATACCGAGTGAGTACTATGTTAAATGATTTGTAGTAACTCAAATGATGATTAATAGAAATGACGATATGTAAAAGTTTTGATTTTAACTATTCAATGATCGCCATCTACAAAGACAACATTAGGGAACATTTCCTATTAGAAGTCGAAATAGCGCTCGTTTTCGATAATTTGATTCGATTTACATTTATTTAAGTATTTAATATTCTTGTCATGTCTAACAGTAGTAGATGAAAATATTGTTCATAAAAAGATTTTCATGCAATAGAACTCATTGATCATTTTAGTAATCACTCACACTCATCCACTCTAAAGATGATCGGAGAATAATTCTACACGTTGAATTCTTAGTTAATATGATATTGACATGAGGGTTGTTTATCAACACCTAAATCTCATGTTTTACGTCGCACTTGTATAGAGTTGAGTAGTTCACGAAAATAGCATAGTAATATAGATTACAAACTTCAAACTCTAGAAAAACGCCTTTCATCATCATCATTTAACCCTTACTGTACTAATTTTCTCATGAGAACGATACAAGAATTATTCTCTCTTACTCAAAGTCACATCCTAACATATACATACATCACACGTCCAACATGGTGAAAGTACATCTTGTCTTCATTATGTTGAACATTGTAGAATGACTTTCACTCAGATTCCGAAAGTTCATCATTATCCATCATAACTGAATTGTAAGACAGTATTTGAGTTTTGTCAGGTCGCAACATCGATAGAACTCGAAAAAAATCAGTGAAATTGTTCATAACATATTTTTCATTAATTTGATTTAAAACTTCATAATGAATCATATCTTAACTATGAGAGCAAAGAGAAGTTTATTGAAGATTTGAAGTCATTTAATTTGTCACAAGCGATAGACAACCTACGCACATGACACATTTGGAGTTATTTTAAGAACAACATTTTTTACTACGAAATGCGAATTTTGCAGTACAGACTTTCGCAAGTAACTTTTAGTAATTGCAAAAAGTTGGTTTTTAGTTGAATTTTCGCCAAAACCAAAACTGAACTTAAGGAAATAGCCAGTAATTGACTTCTTTCTGTTTAAAATCCAAAAAAAACACAATTTTCGGCTATTGCTTAAAGTTTAATTTTGGTTTTGGTGAAAAATCAACTAAAAAGCAACTTTTGGCAATTGCCAAAAGCACTTGCGAAAGTCTGTACTGCAAAATTCGCGCTGTCCTTTTTATTCACTTTTCTGCTTTATCTAGAATGGACAACCACAGGAAACATGAGCGTCACACGACAATATCACACAACATCAACATTAGCAAATGGATCAGTATTGGTTACTGGCGGATACGGCGATACTGGCTCTCTCAATAGTGCTGAATTGTACAATCCATCAACAGGCGCTTGCACAACTACAGGAAGCATGAATGCCACACGATATACTCACACAGCATCCACATTAGCAAATGGATTAGTATTAGTTACTGGTGGATTCAACGGTGTTAATCTTAATAGTGCTGAATTGTACAATCCATCAACACGCACTTGGACAAATACAGGAAACATGAATACTGCACGACAATTGCATACAGCATCCATATTACCAAATGGATATGTATTAGTTGCTGGTGGACAGAACGGTAGTTATCTCACTAGCGCTGAATTGTACAATCCGTCAACAGGCACTTGGACAACCACAGGAAGCATGAATGCCGCACGACAATTTCACACAGCATCCATATTAGCAAATGGATATGTATTAGTTTCTGGTGGACAGAGCAGTAGTTATCTCACTAGCGCTGAATTATACAATTCATCAACAGGTACTTGGACAGTCACAGGAAGCATGAGTGTCGCACGATTATCTCACACCGCATCCACATTAGCAAATGGATTAGTATTAGTGGCTGGTGGGCAAAATGGTAGTTATCTCACTAGTGCGGAGCTGTATAATCTATCCACAGGCACTTGGACAACCACAGGAAGCATGAATGCCGCTCGACAATTGCACACAGCATCCATATTAGCAAATGGATATGTATTAGTTGCTGGTGGACAGAACAGTGGTGGTATCCTCAATAGTGCTGAATTGTACAATCCATCCACAGGCACTTGGACAACTATAGGAAGCATGTATGCCGCACGATATCGGCACACAGCATCTACATTAGCAAATGGATCAGTATTAGTTACCGGCGGATACAATGGTGTTAATCTTTTAAATAGTGCTGAACTTAATTATTCGATATAGACAGAATAACATTTTCTTTTGTGAACTGAATCATACTTTTTTTTTTATATGTAATCAAACTATTTAATCATTCACATTTCTCAATAAATAATCATTCACCGAATAATATGAGTTGGAGAAATATTTCGAAGTGACGTTGTATGGTGGTTGTTGAAAAAGAGCCATAATTGATAAAAGACAGATCATTATTTGTACAACTGAGCGAATACAAGTACAGATGTGAAGAGCATTAATCATTCGTTGCTCCCACCCACATGTATACGGATGACAACGTATGAATAATCGTTCTCAAGTGAATATCAGAAATGAATAATGTGTTGAAACAAATCAATTTTTTTCAACCGCATCCTTTTGTGTCAAATAGTTTGATCAGGTTAATTATTGCGTTTTAGAAGATGGGATATATTTTATGTTCTTATTATGTGCATAATTCTATAAAACGAATGATAGTCTCGATAAAAAAAACAAGACATATTGTGTAAAAACTATTACTCATTTCTAACTAAATGAATGAAAAACAAAATAGAATTTATATTATTCAAAGTGAAAAGAGACGAATGAGAGTGTGAATCAGTATTCTTTTCTGAGTGTTTTTATAGTTACACTTATGTAGTGAAACTTATTTCAATCATCATATGTATCTCAAATAAATTGATATCATAGGTGACAAAGTAAAAAGACAATAAACACAAAAAGAATCTACAGGAAGAAGAATGAAAAAAGTACCTGATTAAATCGACGAAATGTTTCGGTTAGTTAATAATCTATAGAATGACATATTACTTTATTCCCGATGTTCATTGTAACAAAAATTTTGTTTTTGAACGCTTCTCGTATTCATTCTAAAGAAGTTGAATAATTCTACTGATGCCGTTTTGTAGAAATATTCTCTTAAGAGAATATGTTGCAAACATGACGAGATGTACAAAACTTGTCGTTCTCTTCGATGATCTTCTCCAATTCAATTTCTCACAAAACAATTATCTCATAAGTCTTCTTTTTGTTCTTATTTGTATTGATAATAAATATTTAAAAAAATCTATTCTTTATATTCTTCATTCATATTTTCGTTTTTTTTTTATAATTTTATCGACGAAGTTTATAACTAATAAATAACTTCTGTTTACATTCAGTTACAAAATATGTGTGATATAATCTATACATTAATTGATGTTAACTGCTTCTTTCAATTAATAATCATATTCTAAGTATGCGGGTTTAGATGTGCGTGTGGCTTAGTTAGTCATTACCATACACTCAAGGATATATCAAACAAAACATAAAGAACTAATACAAATTATAATCTGATCATACACATGATCGAGCAGCCGGAAATAGCGGACCATACCGGTGCTGACTGCGAAATGGTCGTCGATGACAGCAACTTATAAGGTTATTAGTTTAGTGATAGTTTAAAAAACAGATTTGAGCAAGTAGTTATGTATGATGACAAAATCTAATCAATCGAGAGTCAAGCAAGTCGCATCGACGAGTGCTACTTGTTTAGATAACAGAAGCAGTATAAACGTTCCTTTTTACATTTGATGGCATAAAAAAGAGTTTTCTATTGAACTTAAAATATATCTTCAACAATTACAATCTAAAAGATGAGCGAAATTAATCGATGGCAATTTCTATAACAAAATGAGACTATGCATGACAAGAGATCACTGATTATAACAATCGGACAAAACGTAATACAACAATATAAATTATTAGAAGCATCATAGCTAACAACTCGAATGATCGTTTAGAAATGTCAGTTATTTTTTTCATTACACCAAACATTCTTCTCATTGTTTTGTATCATTGATTTTGATTTGAAAGAAACTTTTTATATGAAATATAGATTTGATCATTAATAGACTATTATAATGTAAATATCTTTTCCGCAATATGCAAGCTATCTACATAAACTATTTTTGAAAGTTCTTAATAGTATCATTCAGATATATATTTATTAAACTATTTCTTAAATTTTTATCTAACTGTTGCTATCTTTGACAAGTGCGTTTCTTGGTCACAAATTTTTGAATATGAGCGCTAATAGAGGTAATACAGTTGCATTCTTCAAATTCATGATTGAGTATCTCATAGGATATTTTTTTTATATCTGTAACGTATATAGATGGTTGACGTAAAAAACATCGATCAACATTTTCAGTTTCACTTATTTTCTCTATCACTATGTTAAGAACATAGAATACAGTGTATTATGTAAGAAAATTATTAATTTTACAAAATAGTCGAAAACAAATATATCTGCATTATATTAACATTGCCGATATTGACATGTCATCACTCACAATATAAGAGCAACAACAACACTCCGTCCTCTGAAAAATGTGTATTTAGAAAAACAAAAAAACAATGTAAGCAAAACGTAACGAAGAAAAAAAATAAAAGCTGTCACTCTTTTTAATTTTTTCTTGAGTAATGTCAGATCAATAATTCGAACATCTACATTATATCGGTTCTTCATTAAGTAAATCACATAATCAATGCCAATAACCCTAAACAAGCAGAAAAAAATATAGGTTATATCCAAACTTTAAATATTCAATTTCTATTAATGCTTCTTCTCACGTTCTCAAGACATAAAAGACAAAACTAATACACTACAATATGATAGAGAAAATACATCTGTATATATGACACTAGAATTTATTCTTGTTTCAATCTTTTTAATACCTTAATGAAAATCATCAGACTGACATGTAATTTGAAATGAATTTTTGCCTTGCCGAATAATGAAATGAAATATTAGAGTCTTATTGTACTTCAACAAAGTTTTATGACAACATTTTCTAAATAAGAACTGATTGCTCACAAGATCATATTTCTTCTTATATGATAATTATATATAAAACTTAAAAACTTATATTTTCTACATTACATGTATATTTTTACAAAAAGAACATATAACAACAATAATAACAATTCAAAAATATTTACAACAATTTATAGGTGAATTTCTACCGATATCAATTTGTCTGGATGCTCTACTATTCAAAAGTTGAATAGTTGATGTCTTTTGTATTTTGTCTTTCTTGGTCGACGATGTATCATATATAAGATCATTATTTGTTGTAATCTGTTTTAATAATGTTTTATTCTGTAAAATACGTAATATCAATTGTTTAAACATAACTTGAATATTATCACCACGTAATGCAGATACATGACAGATAGTCATACTATGTGATGATGAAAAATGTTCTGCACGTTCCAAATATATACTTCTATATGTATCATCACAATTTTCTTCGAATAAATCAATTTTATTACAAACAAGTGTAGTTTCTACATGTTCTTTTCCTTTCGTATGTAATTGTTCATACCAATAAAGTTCAATACGTTCAAGTGTATCAATATCTGTTGAATCCGTAATTAAAAGTGCACCATGACAACTTCGAAAATGATTATCACAACATGATTCATATCTTTCCATTCCAGGAATATCAGTCAATTGAATAATGATAACATATCTGTCTTCATATAATTGATCCAAATAAAAAAAAATAAGATCAGGTCCAATGGTTGATGTAGATCTTAAATGTACGAAATTAGCCTTTTCACCATATTGAAGATAACGAGCAAGAGTAGTTTTGCCAACATTTGAACCACCAAGAAGACTAATACGAATTTTAAGCATAGGTTTTTCTTCCCATTCAGTAGGTATTCGACCATAATGAATATTGAACGAAAGAAATCTATTCGTAGCTGAAACTAATTCTTGTTGAGCACAGAATTCTTCTATAGCATTTTTTAAATTAAAATTAGGTATATAACGACGGTCAGTCAAAGGTTTATTTGTCATTGGTGAAGAATTATTATCGCGTAACCAACGTTCTATAGCATATAATTCATATGAACGACCCTATATATTAATATAAAATATAATATATGTCTTTATTATCAAATAAACTTACATCTTCAATAAGTACTACAGGATCCTCCATAATTTCTCGAGTTATCGGACAGAGAAAGTCACGTGGTACTGTTAGTCTGTATTCGCCAGTCATTATTGTATTGCTTATTAAAATCACTGTATTTCAGGTCCGTTGATATATATCTATGAAAAATGTATTTTGTCCTCGCGGTGTTTTACTGTAGTCATATTATTTTCGTTGTTTATATTAGTCATTAAGGCGGGAGTAACGAACAGAGAGAAAGATAAAAAAATATATTCAAGAGGCCTATCGATTTTGTCCTCTTGCACTTTTTCGTCGTTAATATGTATAACATTGACAATGCAGTGCAAACATGATGTAGCTTTTTTGATATTTTATTTCGTTTTTCTTCATTGATCACATGACCGTCGTGATGCTGATATGCATCAAACATATTAAAAAAAAAAGAAAAAAAGAATCAAATAAAAGTAATGTAAATACATAAGTCATGCATATTATACAGTCAAAAAAAACAAAAAGGATTGATTCTCAAAATTCAGATTTCCTTCGAAGAACAATTATTTATCTGACAAAATTTCGGACATAAATATCGAATATGTTCAGTTTGACATTCATGTTCAAGTATAAAACTACAAATATGTGCTGG